TCTAGCTTTCCCAGGAAATCGCAGGCATACGATACAGACAGATAGACCGAGACCTGCGCCCGAGCCCAGCCCAACTGCCAGGCCTTGGAGGGTACTTAACTCACGCTACCAGGCCATCGCGTGCAAAATGTCAAGTGGTCAAGCAGTTCGCCTTTGATAACCATTCAACCCTGTTTCATGCCCACACAGGGACCACAGCCGGCACGGAGAGGCCGACTGCACCAGCCTGTGGAGGTCGAGATCAGACAGCACGCAGGCAAGAGACAGACAAGCCTGGCCTTGGGTTATCATGACTTTATGCCTTACGAACAGGCCACACCGACTTCAGATGCGACCCTTTCTAGTCACGGAACAGTGTGTTTTTCAAACACTGGAGCACTGCTGGGCAGAGGGAGCAAGCTGAGCTCCAGCCGCATGCCTTTTGCACGCTGTGCTAACTCTGGTTATCTCTTACACTGGGCTCTGAGTGACAGCTTCAGCTATGATATAAACCAAAGCAGACATGAAGTGCTTCCTTTGGCAAGAAATCATCTTAGCTACAGATGTCTTTAACAGCTCATTTATGCATTCTGGGCTCCCTTTCGTAGCTTTCCACAGATCAATATCAACTGCCCTCACGTCTTCTGAAGAGCTCCGTGTCAGACACACTAATAGTCTTGAGAAGGCAGTGTCAAAACAGACTTGATGGGGTTTTCTCTCCTGCTTTGAGAACTAATTTTATTCACCTGGCTGAATGTGCTGGTTTAGTGTCCAGCGCTCCCAGGAGATCGTGAAGAGGGCTGGTGAAGGAAGAGCTGTGTCTGTGCACTGTGGAGGCTCCTTATAAAAACATACCATGGTACAGCAGGTAAAAGCAGAGTAAAGGACAATGGAAGCATGAGAGAGAGATGCCAGAAATACAAACCATGGAAAAGCAAGATAAATCCCCAAAATTGCATCAGCACAGCCACAGAAAAACAACAAAACTCATAGAAATGCCACAGTGGCAGACCATGAGCAGAGGAGTTTCTTTAGCTCATACCCAACACAGCAGTCTCGCAGGAGGCTGTGATGGTGCCCCACTGCTTCAATAAAGCTCTGCCTCATTCGGGGCAGCTCAGTGTATCTGGAGGATAATACTGAGTTATTCAGGAGCCCACCTAAGGGTGATATCTCCTCCTTTTGATATCTCTCTGCCGTATGGTCCCACACACCCAAAAGATGAAAAAGATTTCGGACTCTTTTGTATGAAATCCATGACATGAAAAGATTTAATTAAGATAGCGCTCTGTAGCAATAATTAATCCTGCTCCTTCTGCGCGCCTGTCTCACTGTCAAAATGCAGAGAGATTGAATTAATTAAGGGAGTGCTGCCCGGGGTGGGTGCAGGAGAAGGGTGGGGGGGGTCTTGGGCAAAATCCTCCCCCTGGACAGACAGGCAAGGTGCTGACCTGCGCCGGGGACAGACGTGCCGCAAGACGATGTGGCCATCTAAACTGCTTTTCAATTCTGATGCAAACTGCAGTCTCAGGTCCAGAGAAGCCCCCGAGAGAACAGTGCCAAATAACTAACGTAAATTGATGTCAGAGGTTAAATTGGAGTGAATCAAATTACTTTTGCTCTTCCCGTAATTTCTGTTTTCCCTGTGGAGCGTGAGGATGGTGTGAGGCCTGTGCTACAGTCACTGATGCTGGGGTCCTTGGGTCTCTGGCTCTGAGCTCTGAGAGTACAGACAGGTCAAACAAAATGACACCAAATGGGTACTAGAACCCGCTTTTAACAGAATGAGGGCTTTCAATTCCTTGATTATTCCAGAACAAATATGAAACCTATTCCCTGTATATCTGATCTTGGCTTACAAATCCAGGTTTGCCTCTGCTGTAAGAACATGATGGAACTGAAGAGGGACCTAACTGCAACCCCTGAAGAACACCTGACTTCAGCAGCTGGACAGGCGTCTCTCAGAGGAGACTTTGACCCACATTAGCCTGGGCTGGGAGGACGTGACAACACTGGGTAGGACAAACACTAAGCCGTAAATATCAGCATCCTGTATCCTTGATTAGTTAGTTCACTAGAAAGGTGCAGATTTTGGTGTTCAAGACTTCGATAACAGAGATTGCTAACAACCACAGTTTTGTTAACAATAAATTCTATGGTAAGTACATACTTGAATGACCTTGTTTCCTTGATTTAAGGAGCCTATACCTACATTTGCAATTGTATATAGCATGCTGTGGGCAGTCCTTTTCTCATGAATGTACACATTTCACAATGCCCCCTGAAATAAACTCCAGTATTACGGAGTAAATACACAAAAGCTATTTTTAATGCTTAAAATCCTTACTTCATTTTAGCTTTCAATCAATATTCTAAGAGATTTTTTTCCTTAAAGTTGTAAAATCTGGCAGTTTTCTATCTTAAGATAAGGGGCTAATTTTGAACAACAGCTATTATATTCTAACATGACAAGCTGTAATTATCTTGGCTGGTGTGATATTGGATTTAAATACATGCAAGATTCTAATTAGAGAGTGCTTTATTACTTTGTCAGTTTTGAGTTTCTGATTAGATGGCTTTTATTAGTCAGGATTTGCTGGTAATTGCAGACATGCTTCCCACAATGTGAATCTGTGAGTCTTCCTTGTTTGAGAACAAACTCCAACTTTTAAGCACCACTTGAATCCCTAATACACTGCTTTTCTTTTTGAAATCTGCAAAGATGCTTTCATGTTGCCTGATTTATTTTTTTTAAACAAAAAGAGCTCAATTAAATTCAGACACTTGAACACAAGCACAAAGAAAACTCTGTGTCATTAGGCTCCAGGTGGTTTAAGTGGATCGGTTCTCTTGTTTCTTCAATTATTTGTGATACTATAATCTTAACAAAAATCACACAGAACAAAGAGGAGAAAGTTCACTTTATCTTTAGACCACAGAGGTGTCGACTAGGAACGTAATCTAGTCTGTAGCCGAACCCACGGCCACAGTGGCGAAGGAAGAGCTGAGGAAGGCCCAGATTGCCCATCTTGCTTGTTTGGTCATTAGGAGCTAATTGATCCCAGAATGCCATCCAGGGTTTCGGTTTCAACAGCATGACTGAGAGACTTGTTCCACACTCCCACAAGCCTTTGTGTAAACAATGCTTCCTATGGCTTAATTCTTTCCTCCACCTTCCATAAGCGCTCAGTCCGAGACAGGGCTGCGAGAGCCTGGGCCTGACCCAGCAGGAAAGTCCATCCAGCCCTTTTCTGACAGCCACCTGGCTCAGGGCCACAGCCCAGCTGGAGCGCATCCCCGCAGGCCACAGGCGTGAGAGCTGATGCAGGCAGTGCAGGACAGGTGCTTTTTCCAGAGAGCTCCCGCCCAGCTGCCCTCTGCAGCTTTTTAATGAATTCAGGCTCCACCTTGCCGTCTCTCCGAAACAAATCTGCCGAGGTCCCTTAAACACGCAGACCCCTTGGAAATGTTTTTAAAGAGAAAACGAAAACCTGCTTCTGCCCCTTGCACTTTCACAGCTCTGCTGCCGCTGAGGAATGTTTTATCCTGTTGTAGAGTTGAGAACTCTGTGTCGGGGCCTGAGCCTCGGAGAGCTCCGGGTCATACATTTCTGGCTCGTTAGCTTCACATGGAGGTTTTGAACTTGACATACACTGGGCTGTGCTGTCAGCACATCTCCTGGACTGCACTGTCCAAATACCAACACCCCCCGGGTCTCAGCGCAGGCAGCTATTAGCTCACTCTTCTCGTTAGGCAAGCTCTAGACACCAGAACCAAGAGTGAATTCACCCTCTCACCCTCTGGAAGCTACCACAGTAACAAGCCAACAAAAGCACCATAAAGAAATCACCTTCTTCTGCATAAAATTGTGCTGTTGACATAAAAAACATCTGGATCTGCACGCTTCCTTACTTTACACTTCCTGCTGGATTCGTATGAACGGCCTAAAGCTCTTTCTTTGCTGATGCGGTGAGAAGAGGGAGGGGGACCCTCTAATCTCACCTCCAGCGTCCGGCCGCGCTGTGATCAACTGGTTTGCACAGAAGAGAACGGCAGGAGCCCGGGTGCCGTCCATGCCAGAGTGCAGTTTCCTCGTCTCCACCTCTGCTAACCTCTCACTGACGCACCTGACACAGCAGACCTGCCTCACGGATCTCATGGGGAGAGACATTGACTAGGGCTGTCCTCCTGGTTCCTTCCTTTAGCCCACAACGCCACACAAGGCAGGGGAGAAATCAACAGGAGAAGGCCACCACCCTGAACTGGGCACAAGCCCTGCACAGCGGGGCTGATCCCACTAAGGCAGGTCTGAAGTCTATTTTGTTTTTTTTGCACGCAAACAATTCTTTGTGTTTTTTGAGGCCCGGGATAGAAAATCACACCTTCGGCTGAAACGTGACCCTTGGACGGCGCTGACGCTGCCACCTCCTGTTTCCCCTGGGTGCCCGTCTTGGACGGCGCTGCCCCACACACAGGCACCAGTACGCTCTCGCGAACAGCAATCTCACCGCACTCCTCACCGAGGGGCATAAATATTCATGAGACCATAAGAAAACAGCTGTTTCTCCAATTACAGCTCTGAAAGGCTCACCGTTTGCCAATAAATTGTTGTCTTGTAATTAATGGCTCTGTACCCAAAACAGATCCAATAAGTGCGGTGATTCTTTTTTCTTGCAAACAGGCGAGCTTTAATAAACACCAGCAGCGCGCAGTGCTGTGTAACTTCTGGAGGTGTTCCTGCCCTAAATACACTGACAGGCAGAGAGAAACTTAATGCTCCTGTAGTTGGAGGGAATGTATTTAATGAGGCAGAAATGCCAGAGTGAGCGCGCTTTACCCACGCTGTGTCTAATCAAGTTGTCAAAAATTTTACTTCAAAGAAGGGATCTTCTCTTTACACAGACAAACCCACGAGCCAAACGCTGCTGAGATTTTAAGCTCTTAGGAAGGGATGCATATGTTGCAGGTAAAGAGAAACACGAGGCAGCCATCAGAGAGGATGAACCAAAGGCAGGACTTACCATCCGGGGGCTGTGCTGGAGTGAAGTGCACCGGTTTGTCTGAAAAGAGGAAGAGAGGAAAGAGCCGTTAATTCCCTGGGAACGCTGTGTCTAATGTGCACCAACAAATCAGACACACGGTGATGATACAACGTCTTTTAATCAGCCACTTCTGTGCTTTTGCCCACTGACAGCTGTTTGCCACTGCAAATGAGAGCAGCAAGGAAAACAACAATAATAATAGTCATTTAACGGCTGCTCTCATCGGATGAGCGAAGCACCGCATCAAGCAGTCTTGGCGCGCTGTGGCCGAGACGAGACCTCACTCCCGAGACGCAGCGCTCCTACGAACACGGGCCTCGGGGGGCCCCGGGCCCACCTCGGCTGCTCGGACACAGACTGCGGACACAAAAGCCCCTCTCCCTGGGCCAGGCGGGCTGGGGATGGCCCTTTCGATCTTCGCCTCGCTCAAACACACGAGTGGGCACCAGCACAGGGGCCCTTCGCCTGGCTGCCAGGAGCTGGACGGGAACCAGCAGCTCCAGCTCCTCAGTGTAAAGAAGTGCTTCCCCTGGATCTGGTCTGCGCTGAGGCGGACTGGCAAGCCAGCTGTTATCAAGCCTCCGGAGAGCGATGGGGTCAGGGGTCACCCGGCTAGCTGAGGCCCTTGGGCCAACGAGCGACCACCCAGCGGACGAGTCTCGCCTGCTGCCTGGCTCCCGCCCCCCTGCAGCGGGTGAGCGACCAGCGGCCGAAACCCTGGCAGGCAGGCCGACCCCACTCACAGCGCGGCACGCCTGCGCCTCGCGCACACAGCAGTGACGGGCAACGCCCGGGCAACAGCAGCTCTGAGAGGCTGGCGCGGCGCTCGTCTGCCGTGAGAGAGACCAGGGGCCCGTCGCCTCGCCGCCCTTCTGATTCCCGACGCTCCTGCAACCAGCCCCTTCATTATGAACCTCCTGACAGGATCAATACGCCGATTCAGGTGCTCGAGGTATTAAAACAAGACCACGCAGTGGACAGGAGTAATGGCCCTCAGGATGGATGAGTCCCACTCAGACCACGGGATCCAGAAAAAAACTCAAACTGGGAACTGAGAAACACAACCGCTGACACCCGCCTTGTGTGACCCTGGTGAGCAGCAAAGCATGTCAGCAGACCTCCAACAGGAGCAAAATGAAAGAACGAACCGGATACGGCAGTCTTTATTGGGGCTAGGCAGGGGGGAGGACAGAGGCCTTTTTGCTATTGGATGCCCAGTAACCACGTGGTCAAGGTGCTCTTTTCCTGCAGACTCACTTTACAGTTTAAGTGCGAATCATGACTCAAATGTTGAATTTGTTAAAGCAGGGCTGAGATAAAGCTGAAACGCTGCACACTCCAGTATATAACCCAGAAAGAGATGCTGTCAGGCAAAGTAGAGCGCACTGCTACATAATTTACTCCACACACGGTTTCCTCATTAGAGGAGAATAAAAGTGCCACGCTGATGTGCATGGCCTACTTTGAAATTAGCGTTTACGTCTCAAGAACACATGACACCCTTTCTTTTTTCGACCCTGTTACAGGGACATAATGTCAGAGACTCGGGGCGCAGGCAGGGAAACAACAAACAAAAGAAAAATTCTGCAAATAAGCTGCATGTTCCTCTTCAGCGGCGCTCTCCAAAGCGTGGGGCCAGGTGCCGCTATCAGGTTTAAATTTAGACACACTTAAAATTGCTTGTCAACAGCCGAGGGAGGGGGCGCCGGGTCAAGGAATTTTAGTATTTCTATAATGAACTGTCTGCAGAACTGGCTCGCGAGTCAATCACAGGGAGTATAGATTTTTATCTCGTGAATGCAAAGCAAACAAAACGCACACAGCAGAGCTGCGCAGCGAGTGAGACGGGCACCAGGCCACTCCTGCCAACCATGACCAGCCACATCAATCACGGCACCAGGGAGGGCCGGGACGGACTGGGAAAGACAGATTACTCGTCTGGTTGATCTGAGGCGGCCCGCTGCTCCGGAGCTCTGAGCTCTGTGCTCTGATTATCGGCACTGGCCGAGAGGCACGAGGACAAGGCAGGGTGCGCAGCACGAGAAACGTGCTCTGTGGTAAAAGTTCGGAACGAAAATGGAAACTGCTAACCCGAGGGCTCCTCTTCTCCCTCTTTAAAGAGACCGCGCAGCCTTCCTGCACTCTTCAGTGGAGCTCTAGAGTGGAGCTCTGTGTAGGTGCCCATCTGAATGCTCCCCTCGCAACAGCAATCACTGCTAACAGTACCCGTCTGGTCCTCTCACTTAAACTGCATTATCATCGCATCAGGGCCCGTCACGGAGATCGCTTTCCACTGCCCACACTTGGGAAGCGGAGATAAAACAAAAAGACACCCACTGCTATCTTTTGGAAACGGGAGGAGTGTTCGAGAGCTTTGAGCTAGGCTGAGGAGCGCTGAGGCCTGTGGTCCTCTGGTGAGCAGCTCGGGGGGCTGGGGCTGTGCTCCCCAGACAGAGCCACTGTCACAAGGAAGCACAGCTCCCGGGCGCCAGGAGGGGGCGACGTCACACCCTTGTGCAGAAACATCAATCGGGTCAGCTCACAGATCAAAACAAAAGCACTGCACAGCCTAAAGCGTGGAAGAAACACAGGGAGTTCTGTTGTGTGCAATGAATTCAAAAATATATATATATCAAATATAAGCCAAGGGGGAGATGTAAGGTAGCAAAGCCAGCCTCTCTTTGTGGTTCCGAACTTCGGGCTGATTTGGTTTATAAAGAGAAGGACTTGAGAGGCTGGTGAAATTCGGGTGGAGTAAAGCAGGACGCAAACCAGAGGAAGCTGCAGCAGAGCCAAGAAGGTGCAAGTGAAGCCGAAATAACCGCACAGCTCTGCCGTCATCGGGGAGAGGGAGCAGGGGAAGGTTGCTGATGGAGGTCAGGAGGGTTGGTTTAGCACTACGTGGGACGGCACAGTGAAAAGCTCACCTACCGATAAAGTAAAAGAGTAAACTGCAATTTGCATCAGTGGTCATGCGGGAAGTAACTTCCTTTGCAAGAGCCCCGGAGAAACAGTGTGTCCCACATCCATTAGCAGTGGAGCGTACTGCTCGGCGCTGCCCCGAGTTCTCTGCACGACCACCGAGCCCTGCTGACCAGTGGCACAGTCCATTAGCTCCTGCCCAGCACTCCGGAGCAGTCAGTGCTATTAGTACAGACCCACTCATCCCCATGCAAACGACCCCCCGAAGGACAGCACAAACATTAAGAGCTGCTAAATGTCATGGAGCTCCCATTAGTTTGAGCAGTTAGAAGCATTAAAAGGTTCATATATAGCCTCATTATCGCTCATTATCACCCAAATAAGGTCACATTGATGGCTCCCGTCACTGAATCAGATGTAAGAAGATTTATTTTAAGCTCCTATGTAAATTGTGGAGTCCTGCAGCCCACAGGGTGTGTGCAACTGGGCAGGGGACACAGAGACAGGTGGAGACAGGCAGGCAGTGGGTACACCCAACACAAAGAGAGCATGTCGAGCTGTCCTCTCTCCCTGGACCCATCCCTGCCGCTATCAACAGCACAAACTGGAAGTTCAAACACTCCATCAGGAAAAGACAAAAGGAAGACTTCAAAAGTTAACGCTGTCCTGAATCAATTTACTTTTCGAAATGAAAACTTTGAAAGCATCTGAAACGGGTCCCTTCCTTCAGTCCAGCACGCAGACACACACACATACACTGACACACACGCGCGTGCAGGAACAGCAGGCAGCGTCGTGAGCACGCACACACGCACACACACAGACAGGACACGGCAGGGGAGACCTACAGTTGTTGAGGAAGAGCAGCACGGCGAAGCCCAGGGTGGAGGTGGCCAGCAGGATCAGGCAGATGTTGCAGGGGATCATGAAGTAGCGGACGACCAGGGACACCTTGTGCTGGTACATCCTGTCCCGGTCGGGGGAGGGCGTGGGGTACTGGCAGCTGGTCATGCTCGGGACGGGCAAGGACAGAGGGGGGAAGAAAGAAAAAGGCCGTCCGAAATTCAGCTCTCGGGGTCCCCGGTACCCCTCCTCTCAGAACGCAGAGCCTGCGAAGCTTCTCTCGGTTTCCAGGCAACGCATCGCTGTTCCGTAATAGCATCCACAACGGGGAGGAGAGAGAGTTTCAAAATGAGCCCCCCCTCCCCCTACACTTAGCGCACAAGAAGACGGAGAGGAGACTGGAAAATCACATCGTCGCTTATCCGGAGGAACCCCGGTTCGCCGCCGCGCTGACGCGAAAGCGCCCACAAAGACTGTACATCCCTCGGGACAGCCCGGCTCACACGCACACCACAATCCCTGGGAGCGAGAGGAGGGAGGCGGGCGGCAGGCGCCGAATTCAGCTCTGGTGCTCCTCCGGGGGCTCTCCGTCCTGCCCCAAACACCACCACTACAGAGCCAAGAATCACCCCCAGACGGGGCCGCGCACAGCCTCAGGACAGGACTGTTTCCAAAGGGTTAAAAACATACTCCCAGAACCTTTCTCCACAGGAAAAACAAATCCTCCCCTTTTCCGCGCTGCCCCACTAGCAACGCTCCTGCCCCTGCTCTCCGGCGCTGGCAGGGCAGGGCATCCCCGAGCCCAGCGTGCAGGGAGTCAGGGGGTCCGGCTGCAGAGAGAGATGCTGTGCTGCTCAGTCCTTCTTCCAGCTCCGGCGCTCTGGTGCTCTGGAGCTCCGGCTGCCCGGGGGGCTCAGTTTATTGCATTCGTCAAAGCCGTTAGCAATGAGAGAGGAGAGAAGAGAAGCCCCCCGGGGCAGACTGCCCCCGTGCGTGTATTCCTAAAGATCAAGCTGGGGACGGGGCTGCAGCAGCTGTCTCGTCCCAGTGAACCATGTGCTTCGAGAAGCGGTGGGTTTTGTTGGCTGTCCGAAAAGCCAACCTGCCTGCCTCTGTTCGGGGGCTGCAGCTCCAGCCGAGGTCAGGCGGATCTGAGGACCTGCTGCCGGGGGCGACGACAGCCGCCAATATTCCCGCTGGTCCGTACGGTGCCTCCCAGCACCAGCGCTCCGGCGAACCAAGGAGACAGCCGG